AATTACTTACCCTGAATTCTTGACTACATGTAACCAAATGTGAGATCTGAAAGTAGCATGGTTTAAAATGAATATAAGGCGCATACATAGATTATTAGATAAAAGCAGAAAAGAAGTCAGTTTATAGAAATATCTCATAATATCATATGAATTGATATCTCTACTAACAGCGCTTCATGAAGTACTATACTATTAACTGATTGATTCGCAAAACGAGTCAGAAAGTAATCAAACTCCGCTGTTTGCTTTTCAGTCAAGCCAGAACGACGCCCAGGCATCCCAGTAACCACCTCGACTGTGGTCGTGGGCGTTGGCGTGAAACCCCATGGAAGCGAGAATCATTTCTTCACGCCCGTCTCCTCGACAGTGCATCCTCCATTCTCGCCCATCACGCCCCTTTTCCCCGCAACCACCGTCGGCACACCCATCACGTCCACCTACGCCGTGGTGCCCTCCGCCGCAACGACGCCCTCCAGCATCCCCTCCTCCACACAGTTCACGACCATTCGCCCTCCGCTGACGTCAATAGCCTCTGTCTTGCCCATAACGACTTCATCTTACGCCAGCATCGGGCCCACGAGCGCCGAACCGCCGGCCGTCCTGACCAGTACGTACTCCTCCGTCTTTCCACTCACCCCGACGCGGATCATCCCGACCACTCCAAAGCCGACATTCATAACCACAACGCGACCTTTCCCCACCACTCCCGGGCCAACTGTCATTACCACATCGCGCCCAATACCCACCACAAGAAGGCCCACCATCATCACCACAGCTCGTCCTTTCCCTACCACGAAAAGACCAACCATCTACACGACAATCCGCTCGTTCCCGACGACCATTCGCCCTGCCATCGTACCCACCACATACCCCACCAGCCAGAGGCCACCCATTATAACCACCCTCCGTCCCTTCACCACCACGCGACGGCGACCCAGCACGACGCCCAAGCCTCCCTTCGTCATCCCGAGCGTCATCCCGTCCATTCCGACGCCGTTCGACCCCGCCACGACGCCGGTGTTCACGGTCACGGAAATTCCAGCGACGACGACGTCTAGCACCGTATTCCAGCTCTCGCCCACCGTCATCGGGAACGGACAGTTTGAGATCGAGGACAGCACGCTACCGCCGCGACCTCTAGAAAGGTATCAAAAAGGGATTTTATTCACAATTATTCACAGTTATTCACAAACAGATTATAATTAATTATAACAGACGAATTCATTCCAAAGAACTTTGATAAGCTCATACTTGCCACTGAAACATCTTGACCTTGAACTTTACCCTTCCAGCGATGAGATCGATATCCTGGACAACCTCGACCTGAATATTGACGTCTCAACGGAAAGGCTGTCGTACCTTGACTCCGGGAAAGACTTGGATCGGCACCCTGGCACGGACGCGAACGATGACGTGCACGTTCTCTCGCCGTTCACGAAGAGGAAAGGAAATGCCACAGAAAACAATCAGGTAAAGACAATGGCAGTGGTATGAAAAGGTAAAATGGATGATAAAACATTGATATCAAGAGGCATCTGGAATAGGTATGTGATGTAAATGTGAGAGAAATGATAATGATGTTTATAAAACAGTATGAATTAGGAAGCAATTCTTTATGATTTGGGAATAATAGAGCTTACAAGTGGTGTAATTGGAAAAGAAATGATTAAGGTATGAATAGTCTCGGTGAAAGCCAGGTTATTACCGTGACTACTAACGGAGAGCAAAATAGAGCGTCAACGTCAATTTTCTCTCTCCGTCACTCTCTGTCTCTCTCTCTATCTATCTCTAACGGAGAGCAAAATAGTCTAGACTTTTCTCATTAACGTCAATTTTTCTCTGTCTCTCTCTCTGTCTCTGTCTCTCTCTCTCTCTCTCTCTCTCTCTCTCTCTCTCTCTCTCTCTCTCTCTCTCTCTCTCTCTCTCTCTCTCTCTCTCTCTCTCTCTCTCTCTCTCTCTCTCTCTCTCTCTCTCTCTCTCTCAACTCACGCTTTCTCTCTCTCTCTCAAAACTCACGCACTCTCTCTCTCTCTCTCTCTCTGTCCTTAACTTTATGTCTTAATAAATTCCAACATCGGCACGAGGCCTTCGCCAGCCCAGGTGGCCTTCTTCCGACATTCATGAGTCACTCTCTCACCGTCTGACGTCATTCCCGCTTTGGTCACGATCAGCCATAAAGTGTGCTCCCATAGTGAAGTAATCTTTATACTGTTTCCTTTACTGTACCGAGTATTGCGAAAGTCTCGACTTACACGCCATCGGATACCATAATCTCGCTAAAGGAAGCACTGAAAGCCGGATCAGTCTTAAGGACGTATCCGGTTGGATACATTCCCTTCGATTGGGCCTCCTCGAGATGTAACATAACGATGGCAAAGTCATGTAATTCGAGAGGGTGAAAACATGTCTCTGTTGCAGGAGCACGCAGACGATGACCCCTTTGGATTGTACACAGATTACATAGACAAGATCCTAAATCCAGACTCAACCGCTACTGATG